CTTTTCCCCTCATCAATTCTATGATTCACTTCATCTTTCATAGACCCATCCGCTGACACGTCCACTCCCAAATATCTGAATACATTCACCTCCTCCATACTCTCTCCCTCCAATCTGATATCCAATCTTTCATCACCTAATCTTTTTGTTATCCTCATAACCTTACTCTTTCCTGTATTATATGACATTTAATGTGCCTCAGTGATTATTTTTGCATATTACTATTACAGTGGACCCTTGGTAATGATGTCATCCCGAACGTGATGGACCAAAACTGTGCAGCATAATTTAAATGAGGCCTAACCAAGGATGTATAAAGTTGAAGAACAACCTGAGGACTCCTATTATTTATGCTTCTTGATATGAAGCCAAGGATTCTATTAGCTTTATTGCGAACACTTATGCACTGTTGTCTTGGTTTCAGATTACTGCTAACCAGAACTCCTAAATCTTTTTCGCAATCTGTAATATTAAGATCTGCATTATTTAGTTTATATGTGGCATGGTTATTGTCCTGTCCAACATTTAGAACTTTGCATTTGTCTATATTAAACTGCATCTGCCACTTCTCTGACCACTGCATCAGTCTATTCAAATCTTCCTGGAGTGCTCTAATGTCCTTGTCAGAATGAATTCGACGGCCTATTTTGGTGTCATCGGCAAACTTGCTGATGTCGCTCTTTATGCCTTCATCTATGTCGTTTATGTAGATTGTGAACAGCAGGGGGCCCAACACTGACCCCTGTGGAACACTGCCCGTGACGTTTCCCCACTCTAATTTCTCCCCATTTATGCAAACTCTCTGCTGCCTATTTGTCAACCATGCCTCTATCCAGGAAAAAATTTCTCCTCCTATTTCATGTGCCTTAATTTTCCTCAGTAGTCTCTGATGTGGGACCCTGTCAAAAGCCTTACTGAAGTCCATATACACAATATCATATTCATTACCATGATCTACCTCCTCAAACACCTTAGTGAAAAAAGTTAATAAATTCGTAAGGCAGGAATGCCCCTTTGTAAAACCATGCCTTGGCAATTATTAATTCCATAAATTTTCCCACTATGGAGGTTAGGCTTATTGGTCTATAGTTCAAAGCTAAGGACCTGTCACCTGCTTTGAAAATAGGTATCACATTTGCCATTTTCCACTTATCTGGCACCATGCCAGTTTGTAGTGATATGTTGAAAAGATTAGCCAAAGGTTTGCTAAGCTCCTCTTTACATTCCTTTAGAACTCTTGCATACAGTTCATCAGGGCCTGGGGATTTGTTAGGTTTTAATTTATCTATTTGCCTAAGGACCATGTCACTTGTGACCCTAATTGTGCACAGTTTATTATCGTCCTGTTCTTCATAATTTATCATTTCTGGAATATCGCTGGTATCCTCCTGTGTAAAACTGAGAGGAAGTATGTGTTAAAAATTCTACACATTTCCTTATCACTGTCAGTGAGCTGACCCGAGGAACTTTTGAGTGGGCCTATCTTGTCCCTGATCTTGCTTCTGTATACCTGAAAGAATCCTTTTGGGCTAGTCTTCGATTCTTTTGCAACTTTAACCCCATAATCTCTTTTTGCTTTTCTAATTCCCTTTTTTATTTCTCTCTTTAACTGAATATATCGATTTCTTAATTGCCCCTCTCCTCTTTTGATTTGCCTATATATGCCTCTCTTTCGACCAGTCAGATATTTTAATCTATTGTTCATCCATTTAGGATCATTTTTGTTTGATCTGATTTCCCTATTTGGAACATAATTTGACTGAGCAGCTAAAACTATGCCCTGGAAAGCGTCATATTGGCAACCATCACCACCTACCTGACCCTTAGTCAGGTCATTCCAGTTCAGCCCACCTAAGTAATTTTTCAGTCCTATGAAATCAGCCAAGCGGAAGTCAGGGACGGAGACTTGATTGCCATTATTAGGGGAATTCCATGATATATTAAAACTGAGTGATTTGTGATCACTTTCCCCAAGCTCATCATTAACCTCAAGATTATTAATTAGTGTTTCCCTACTGGCAAGAACCAAGTCAAGGAGGTTATTTCCCCTAGTTGGCTCTGTCAGAAGCTGTTTTAAAAAAACAATCCTGGATCGTATCAAGAAAGTCACCTGACTCTAAATTTCCTGTCAAATTGCTTCAGTCAATCTGTCTATAGTTGAAATCTCCCATTAGCACAACATTTTTGTATGTAGATGCCTTAAGAATTTTGTCCCATAGAAGTTTACTGCACTCCCTATCAAGATTTGGGGCCCTGTAAATCACACCCAAAATTAGTTTTTCTCGGCCCTCGAGAAGCTGTAACCAAACAGATTCAGTGGCTGACACTTCTAATTTTATATCTTGTCTAACACAACAATTTAAATTGTCTCTGACATACATCGCTACTCCACCACCCTTCCTGTTGACCCTGTCAGTGTGGAATAATTTATAGCCTTGTATGTGACATTCAGAGGGCATCTCTCTATCTTTCAGATTGAGCCAGGTCTCTGTTATAGCAATAATATCTATGTTTCTGCACTTGCAATTAATCTTAGCCTCATCTATCTTATTTCTTACACTCCTGCTATTAGTATAGTAAACCTTAAGGGAGCTAGTCCCTTGCTGCCCTCTGCTGTCCCCCTTTGTTTGCTGACCTTGCTGCCCTCTGCTGTCCCCCTTTGTTTGCTGACCTTGCTGCCCTCTGCTGTCCCCCTTTGTTTGCTGACCTGATCTATTGTCTTTATTTATAACTTCATGCTGAATGCCTTTTATACATTTACTGTTTCCAACCTTAGTGTTGCAACCTGCTTGTTTCCCACACACACCCATACATCTATCTTCTATCAGTTTAAAATCATAGGCATTTCACCAATGACCTTCTCAATTGAGTTTGCAAGTGCTACCACCCCAGCCCCAGAGAGATGTACCCCATCCCTTGCATACATATCATGTTTGCCATAAAAGTTGTTCCAGTTGTCAATGAATGGGATTGCAAGTTCCTTGCAGTATCTGTCTAGCCAGCAATTTACACCAATTGCCCTAGACAACCATTCATTTCCTACTCCCCTTCTAGGCAAGATGCTACATATGATTGGGACCCCTCCCTTAGACTTAATGAAATCTATAGCTGACCTGTACTTATCTAGCAGCTCTTCTCTCCTACCCTTCCCAATATCATTTCCACCAGCACTGAGACAGATAAGGGGCTTGTTCCCATTACCTGACATGATATTATCCAGCCATTAACTATGTCCCCAACACCAGCTCCAGGGAAGCACACACTATCTCTCATCTTCTTATTCCTATTACAAAAAGCACGGTCAATATATCTTACCTGAGAGTCACCAACCACAAGAATGTGCTTACCTCTGTTAGCAGGGGCAGTAGTACCCTTACCTTCACTGGCCACTGAAGTACATTCATCCTGAAGAACAGAGAAGCGATTTCCTACCTTCAGATCTTCACTCTTAACTTTCCTTATTCTGATTCTCCTCCCATTACTGGTTACCACTTGCCACTTGTAGCAGGTGCTGGACTGCACCTCACTGCTGGTAGCCGTTGCTACCTCCCCACCTACAGCCTCCTCACAGCGAGAGACAGACTGCACCTCACTACTAGAAGCCTCATTCCCCACAACTCCAGCCACCTCACACTCTCTCCCAGACCCATTGAGGTGGACCTTCAGCCTCCTAATCTCCTCCTGGAGAAGCAAGACCTCCTCCTTCAACTCTCCAATCTCAATTTTTAAAACACTGCAGAAGCAAGCCATGCTTTGTAACCGTCCACGCTAATCCCCAAAGCAGCTCAGGGTCTGTGACCGAGGCGATACATTTTGTATTATTCTATTGTTTTTAGTGCTTGTAACTGCTAAATAAACCACCGTGGGCCCAAAGAAAACTTCTAGTGCCAGTCCTTTGGTAAAGAGGGTGAGAAACACTATAGAATTCAAGAAAAAGTTTGTCGAAAGATACAAAAGTGGTGGTGGTACTTCCCTACACACCAGCCAGGGTACTTCCCCACACATCATCCATGGTACTTCTCCACACACCAGCCAGGGTACTTCCCCACACACCAGACAGGGTACTTCTCCACACACACGATTTGATCTGAGTGGGACTTGTGCATGAGTGAATAGAATTATCAAAGCCTATTGCTTGGGAAGCATGGAAAACTGGGTTGGGCAAATACGATTCTGTTAGTGGGATGGTTTGTGAAGGACATGCCCAGTATGGGCCAACAGGCCTGCTGCAGTGTTCCTGCTTTTTTATGTTCAAACATTTATGGATGAACATCACCCTGACACAGCTGTTGCAGGCCGTGCTGGTAACATCTACATTGATGAAGTTATGTCCCATTTTGGGGAAATCTTAAAGAGATACCAGAAACAGAGCTTTCTTGACAGATATTCTGTATGTGTTCTAAATATTTTCTGATTAAATTGTATTTGTAGGAGGACCCTGCTTTATGGCCTCAGTGGGAGACGGCCGACTTGTTGAAAAAAAAAAAAATGTACTTGTGTACCTGTACCGAAATAAACTTATACACTGTGTTGGCTTGCAGGTACGTTAAAATCACTATTTGGCAAGGAAGTGACTAAGTGTGTCACTAGTGCTGAAGACATAATAAGCATAATAATGATAATTGCTCTGGGGTGCTTTAAATGTCATATATTATGTTATAAACATAATACATGCAACCACACTAGAACAAATTGACATAATCGTGAGGTGTGGTAGCCGGGCAGCTTGTAGGAGTGTACAACAATAACTACAGTAAGATGTTCTCTCTAGTACAACACCACCAGAAAAACTGTATAGTATTCCTGAGGGTAACTGTAGAAAAGCATTCCTTTCGTATGCCTTCACTCATAAATAATATCACTCACTCTCAAAAGTGTGTGTTGCTGTTATATATTCCACTGCACTGCACCAGTGTGAAGACAACTTGTACATAATGTAAGATGGTGAAAATGCTTGGCAAACGTATACATAATGCCAAATGAACATGTATCACCCGCCAGTGGACAGAGACAAAGACAGAATTTATTTATTTGCAAAGGTTACAATGTGTGTTTACATTTTATACATGTTAGATACAAAGAAACCACTAACATGCTGGGGCATTTCGGGCAGACTAATCGTAATGCTTACGGACTACTTAAGACTAGGCAGGTACAGAGTGGTAAATTGTAATTATACATTATTTTCCATATTAGAATGATGAGGTAGCTAAGGGTTTACAGTAATGAAATATATAGTTGTGATGTAGCATATAAAAAATAAACGGTATTACAATTTAGCACAAATAACAATAATATAATAGTACAAGTATAAGTATGTATTAATGTTTAGTTAATCAAGTGGTCATAAATGTTTTTGGGAGTTTTTGAGTTGCTTGAAACTGGCTATATGATTTAGCATAGTGTTATATGGTTAATTTTGGGAGATGAGATGATCTATAAGTAGAGCTTTAAATTGATTTGTGGGCAGGGGACCTTTTGCTGGTTCGGGTAATGAATTCCAGATCCTTGGGCCCTTTATGTACATTGCATTTTTGCATAGGGTGAGATGGACACGAGGGATGTCGAAGAGTGTTTTATGCCTTGTGTTGTGCCTGTGCGTTCTGTTGTAGTTGTCAAGGAGAAGTTTGAGAGAAAGGTTAATATTGCAGTATAATGTTCTGTATATATAGTAGGCACAATAATATGAGTGAAAATTCTGTATACAGACTCTCCTCACTTAGTGACGTACTCATTTACCAATGACTTGGACTTACGACAGGCTCTCTGACCAGTATGCATACTTAAATAATGTATATTTGAGCTGATTTCCTCTATTCTGTTTATTACAATATACAGTACACTACTGTATAAACATTTAAAAATATACCAGAAATGTTATAAATGGTGCAATTGTGTCATTAAAACTATAAAAGATGGTTGACGCAATCCATTATAGTATGCTCCTCACTTAGAGACGACTTCGTTTACCAACATGGTCTTAGGAATGGAACTCTGCTGTTAAGTGAAGAGAGGCTGTATTTTGTATATTTTGCCTGCACTTTAAAGGAGTAGTTTGGGATATTGGCAGTTTGGAGGGACATCTAAACTGTTGTATCTGAGCTCCTCAGTAAAGTCAGTGATTATGTATGAGTGATGGTGAAAGTGCTGAATGATGAAACTTTCTTCTTTCTTTTTGGGTCACCCTGCCTTAGTGGGAAATGGCCGACGTGTTAAAAAAAAAAAGTTGTATATTAAGTAAGTTAAAGCTCAGGTAATAAATGTGTGTCCAGCTCCCCCCCCCCCAAAAAAAAAAAAAAAAAAACCTCTGACACTACATACACATCTATGGAGCACCCTTCTCACATTTTTTTTATAATAATTTCTATGGGGAAGTGGAACAAAATTTTTCCTCCGTAAGCTGTCCATGTCATAAGAGGCGACCAGAATGCTGGGAGCAAGGGGCTAGTAATCCCTTCTCCTGTATACATTACTAAATGTAAAAGGAGAAACTTTTGCTTTTCCTTTTGGGCCACCCCACCTTGGTGGGATACGGTTGGTGTATTGAAATAATAATAATAATAATAATAATAATTCTACAAGTGAACCTGGGTGTGTTGCCATGAACTCTGCATCTCTCTTGGTTCCTTCTGTAAATTTTCTAAAGGTTCAAGTGTTTTAACCCTTCCAGGGTCCGTGCTGTAGATCTATGGCTTTACGTTCAGGGTCCAAACCGTAGATCTACGCCATGAGCTCAGCTCACTCTGATAAGCTGTGAGTGGTAAAATTGGGCCTAGATATGAGAGAATACATCTGTGTGGTATATGTGCACCACATAAAACAAATCCTTCAGCACACAGTGTATAATGAGAGAAAAAACTGAGACTGTGATTTTCGATTAAAACAGCGACTTTGCAGTGTTTTTTCGTATGTTTTTTATAGTTGTATTTGTGATTTCTTGGTCTCATTTGATAGAATGGAAGACATATTACAGAAATGGAGATGATTTTGATTGGTTTTAGCACTGGAAATGGCTTGAAACTGAGCTCAAAGTAGCAGAAATGTTAAAATTTTTGCTGATATTCAGAGTAAACAAACGACCTCACATGTCTAATACACGCCAGCTGGTGGGTCTTATATACATTCACAAATGTGGTGATGATATTTATACAATTATTACAACATTGCATAACAGTAAATCTTCTATTTTTTGGTTTGAATAAAAATTCATTATGTGAATAAAAAATCAAAATGGAATTCATTTGTAAAGCCTCAAAACATAACTAATGAACAGAGGAAATGTTAGTTTAGTGCCAGGAATATCTACAGTGTTTTTTCTGGACCCTATTTTGAAATTGGAATATTTTGAACTTTGTGTTAAATTGGCCAAATTACCAATTTCCGATCACATTATTTTGTAGTTGAAACAGTTAACTGGGCGATTTCTTGTGTTCAATCGATAGAATAGAAGTAATACTAGTGAAATAGCTAATAATTTGGTCGACTGGAATAATGTAATTGGCCTAAAATGGGAGTCAAAGTCGGCAAAATCGCCGATTCGTAAATATCGCTGACACATCAAAATTCGCGAGAGCATAATTTCGTCAATTTTCCATCAAATTTCGTACTTTTTGTTTTATTACCTTCAGAAAAAGATTCTCTACCATTTCATAAAAAAATAATAACAAAAATTTTTTTTTTTTTAAATTCTTGGACCCTGGTGTGCACTTAGAAATTTGACCTCTGGACCCTGAAAGGGTTAAAGTTATTACTCCTATACACTTATTTATTACGATGACATCTAAGGGTAGCTGTAATAAAAAGGTGTCATAAGGCTTTTACTCTTATAGTTGCTACAATTGTGAACTCTAAGGAGAGTGATGCAAGAAATTAAGTGCTATATCAGTGAACACTAAAGTTATAAAAGAATGTGATAACCTTATTGCTGGCATGGAAAAACTTTCACTGTTTTGAATTGAAGACCAAACTATTCCCAGCGTGCCATTAAGGTAGGTAATGAGTGTACTGTATTTACAATTTACTTTTTTATTGTTTTTTTTAAGCCTAGTTCTAATGCTAACCAAATATATGGTAATGTAAACATATTATCAGGCATTTATGTGCATTTAAAAATGAAAAAATTGTGATTAATTTTTGGTAATTTTCGCTTTACAGCAGTAGCCTGGAACCTAACCTGTACTATGTTAAATACTATGTATTGTGCACTACATATGTAAATTATTTTCCCAGGCAGCTCTAAATGATGTGATTCCCTCACAAGGGAGAAGAACATGGAGTCAAGAAGGTTCACAAAAGTTCCTGAAGATGGTGCAGAACAAAGAGTTTGTAGCACATATTGTCTCATTAAAGGTAAGATAATTATGCCAAGCAGTCATCTTACTGTCATTGTCTCATTAAAGGTAAGATAATTATGCCAAGCAGTCATCTTACTGTCAACCACACATTATTTCCTCCTGATGCTGCTTCATGTTATGTTGTAAAGTAAAATATAGGTACGTATAATGGACCCCTATGTAACAAATTTAGGTTAAAATGACAAAAAAATTTTTGGCTGGACAAAGGCTGGGCGAGTCTTCTGTGCGGGGATGTTTAGTAGAATTATTGATGTAGCAGACCAGGTCAGTTGCATTACATGTTTTTCTGTATGGAAGGTGTCTGATAGTCACTGGCTCAGCCTGCATCAGTTTGTCATTGTCTGTGTGTATGCCCGCCTGCCATTTATCCTCCAATTTTCTTTGGATTTGCATTGTTTTTCATTATTTTTTTTATTAACACATCAGCCATTTCCCACCAAGGCAGGGTGCCCAAAAAAAGAAGAAACACTTTCATCATCATTCGCTCCATCACTGTCTTGCCAGAGGCATGCCTACACTACAGTTAAAAAATCTGCAACTTATCAACACCCCTCCTTCAGAGTTACTTTATTATAATATAAAAATTGTATTGTACAGTAGGGCCCCACTTATACGGCGGGTTAGGTTTCAGGCTGTCGCCGGAAAGCAGACATCGCCGGAAGGCATATAAATGGCAGACAACAAGTTTACACTAAATTATATTAAGTTAGTAATAGAACTAGGCATTAAAAACACACAAAGTAATATACATTCACAGTAAATTCATTACTTACCTTAAGGTATTTGTAATCTTAATGTAGGGAGAGAGGTGAGTAGTACTTATTTGTAGGAAGTCAGGTGCAGGTAGCCCAGGTGTAGGTAGCCCAGGTGTAGGTAGCCCTGGCTCCCCGTCTCATACTTAATATACAATATTTAAAACATCCCAGAGAGGTAAAATACACATACAGTATACTCATTATGTGTAGTCTTATTATAGGAAGAGAGATGAGTAGTATTTATTTGTAGGAAGTCAGTGTAGGTAGCTGGTAGGTGTAGCCTGCCTGGGCTACACCTACTGGCTACCTACACTGTGGCCCAGAGCCATATTATTAACACAGACATACCTTGGAAATATAAACACATATGCAGTATAATGTGATCTTTTATTGACTACGTTTTGCCCACACAGTGGGCTTTTTCAAGTCACAAACAGATCTACCTGGGGTGGAAGGGATGCGAGTGTTTATAGTCAGGTTCAGAATGCTGAGGGCAGGTGGAGAACGCTGCATCTGATGATGTACCGAGTGGGGTTATAGAGTCTAAAATCTTGGGTAGCTTGGAAAGGAGATTGGATAAGTTTGTGAGCAGACCTTCTACAGTGTTCTTCCATTCATGTGTTCTTTTTGGGATAGCGATGAAGAAGTTTCCTGGCAAGTGGTTCAGCTATGTTATAGAAGCCACTATTCTGGTTGAAGTTGTTGGATATAGAAATAAGTGATGATTCCAGGATTCTTCGGTATTGAGTGTTGTCTTCTGTTGTCTTCTATGTAATTATAGGCTGCTTCCTGCGTGCACTCAGAACCTGCAGCAATGAGTTTCTTGAAGAAGAATGCACGATAATTGAACAAGTATTTTCTTAACTCCACTATCCTCGTCACTTCATCAGAGACTGCAGATGATGGGCATTAAACATCTTCAACACACCCAGAGAAGACACTGCCAAGAAGAGATACATAGTCCTCCCCACCAACTCCATTGCCAAACACGTTTCCAACATCTTTTCCAATACCTCATTCCAAGTATCTACCTCCACAACCACGACTATCAAGGATCGGATCGGATCGAGGACGACGAGAGCTGTCGTAAGATGGGAAGGAAGAAGGATAAGGAAGGATGGAAATAACTGGAAAAGGATGGGGAGGAGGGGAAGAGGAGGAATCAAGGCAAGTGGCCCAACCACTTTGGGACATGTGGTACAAAAGTACTGGAGACGTAGATAGAGAGGCTTGACTGATGTCATTGCTTGGCTCACTAGGAGAGGATGGCGTAGGCAGCGGCAGGAGCTGGGAGTGTCAGAAGGCAGCAAGCAGGATGAGTTGGTTATGGTCTTTAAACCGTTTATCAGTGCGGTTTATATTGTTTTCGAGGAGAGTTGTATCACACTTATGGGGGGAAGCTGTAGTAGTCTTCGTTGGTTTGGAGGTGGTGGAGTATCTGGTTGTAGGTAGGGAGTGTCTTTCTTCGCTTTGGTACGATACAGTGTTGTCTTGGAGATGTTGGAATGAGTTCTAGGCGAGTCATGCTTGCAGGGTTTTGCCTCGTGGTGTAGAATTCGAGCCCTTTTTGTGTTTAAGCATGGTGTTCCAGGTAATCGACGTGAGCTAAGTAGAGAAGGCGGTGGTGGGTAGAGGAAGGTGGTTTGTTGCTTCGTTTTCAGCTTCAGTAGACGAATTGAAGATGTTTCTGGTGGTAAGGCTTTGATTGGAGGGTTTCAGTGAGAGGTGGTGGCGGTGGAGGCTTTCATTGGTCGTGTTGGATTGACGTCACTAGTTGGTGGTGTTGATGGGACTTCTGCAGAAGAGTTGGCGATTAAGTTTTTTGGTGAATTGAGAATTTCTTCAGAAGGTGGAGATGCTGGAAATGTAAATGAAGGCATATTATTTAATGCAAATAACTCATTGATGGTAGAGTTAAAGGATCCAGGTACAGCCATGTTCTGCATGTGAGCGTATAGTAAGCAGTAGTGGATCTTGGTTACGTCACATGTTGGAGGAGTGATGATGGTGGAGGCGGGCTGAGTAGATGCTTGAAGTAATTTTGTAGTGTTTGCTTGTATCTTTGCAATTGCTGCATACATTGGAGTATTGCTTGTAGGTTTTTTTCTTTGCTGCATCTTGTGTTTTCTTCATAATATCCTTTCTTGTAGGACATTTTGCTGCCAGTGTATGGTGGTCAGGCGCGGATCTAGGAACAAAGTTTGGGAGGGGCCCGACGGCAGAATTTTCGGTTGTTTAAAGAGCATTAGCATTACCGTTTCTCCACTAACGGAATTCTTATTTGTTAATTACTGGCGGACTGACCTAAATGAATGGGCATAACCATCTGCTCTAGGTGCCAGTGTTTCTCTTCGGATCCAAATGAGAGGGCCGATTTTTCTGAGAAAAAAAACACTGACCTTACAATGTGAGGAATTTTGTATCTTATTAAAACTTTATTGAAAGAAGAATTTAAAAGCTAGAGACTTTACATTAGACATTAACTTAAATGTAGAATAAATATATATATATATTTTATATATATATATATATATATATATATATATACACATACATACATACCTGCTTAAGACAGTAAGCATTATACTTTATAATATTACCTATAATAGTAGCCTTAAAAATAAAAATGCAAAGGTTATTACATGAAAGGATTAAACACACTGCAGCCCAAGCAAAGAGAAGACGGCGGTTCCTTTCCGCAAACTTGTTGATCAAAACGATCAACAGGAACATGTACATCGTTATGGACGGCGAGTAGTGCGAGGCCGTTGAGGTGATCCTGACCTATGGTGCTCCTCAAGTATGTCTTCAGGCGTTTTTAGGGCTGAGAACGAAACGTTCGGCTTCTGCATTTGAGACTGGCAGGGTCAGTAGGATGGTAAGGAGCTTCGCGATGTTGGAAACATACGGGCCTCGGCATATTCCCTTTGCTTTCTTGACAGATTCGAAGGCCGGAGCGGAACATGTCCACCGCTGGTTTTTCCCGTCTGCATGAGAAAAAGTACTCAACGTCATTTTCTTTTAGGTTTAGTGGCTTTAAGAACAGCATCCGTTTGCTTTTGAGCCCCTGGCAGCCCCTTCAATCGGAGAGCAAGGGCACAGTGTCACATCAAATCGCTTTCAACTCGCATCACATGGTCAAGAAGGGAAATATCACCGAGCGCCGTAGTACCCCTCGAAATGAGCTGGGCATTCGGCATTGTGTCTGTCGTGCACAGCTTGGGAAATGGGACGTCATCGTGAGCTGAGCCCCTTAACTAAAAGTCTTTGGCTTTACAAACACAGCGGGAAGTACTCCTCGGCATCCGCCTAAATTTGGAGAATAGGTCCGGATTTCAGAATAGTGGTACACACATCCCGGGTCCCCTTTCCCTTTTTTCTTTTGGGTTTTGCTTGGCTGAAGCGTTTTGTGCCAAAACGGACTCGGCCACAACCAACCCAACGGGGAAAGGGGGGGGGTCCGAATCACAGCGAGTGGAGTCGGCTTTGGCACCCAACTTATCTCACCCTCCAAAAAAATAGCGAGAGAGGAGAAAAACTCGATGAACCGAGGCGCATCGTGCCGCTCGACCATTGGTGGGGAAAGGGGGGCACCAGCTTTTCCCGCTTGGCTGAGGTATTTCCCCGGTTTGGTAAACCGAAAAGCATGCATGTTGCGGGGAATGGATGAAGTTGTACACCTCGTTCAGTGTTGGGGGGGGTTTTTGACTTCTTTGACTCAAGGTTTAGTCAGCACCAGGTTCAGTCGGTGACTGAAACAGTGGTCGGTTTCGCAGGGGGTATTGCTGCTGAGATGGCGGAAAACCCTCTAAAATTTCCCCCCATCATGGCACTCGCTCCGTCGAACCCTAGCCCTGGCATTTTGACATCCCCAAGCCGGGCCCTCGACGGGGGATGAGCAGTTGGGCCGGCCTTCACCAGTGGGGCATGGGCATAAACGAAAGTGAGGAAATCTTTTGACTCTTTTTTGAGTGTAATGATGATGGTTGCTTTTTCCCTTTCCCCTGAGACGTGTGGTCTCATCCATTAGCACTGCATATACCCCAACACTCCTGCCAAGATCTCCCCCTGCCCCAATTCCTGCGAAGCGAAATAGGTTCAGTAAATCTGCCTCAGGTATTTTATCGGGGGAAAAGGAGCTATTTTATGGTGTGATTTCCCATGTGTGCCCACCTGTGAATCGTCAACTCGTTCTGAAGGTCTTGCTGATGAGGGGGGAAAAACCCTGGCCCGGCTGACA